GATATTAACTCAACTACTTATAAGGTGCAAAAAATGTGTTCTCTTCCTTCCAAATTACATCATTGATGTAAAGTTTTGCTTTTATGTTTAATGTTTTGAAATGAGGGTTTAAGAGTTTTCTCACTTCTACGTAAGGACTTGTGTTTGAATAGACGTGTACCATCCAATTATTAGAGTTCCTGGTCCCCTTCATCGAGGATTCTAGATCCTGATCCCATGTGAGCGTTTGACTCCCTTTTCAACCCCTGGCAAGACCTTCCTGCCCCCTTAATAATCCCAGCTGGAAAATTAGGTAAAATAAAAACATGACCTCATTAAGAAACAGATGTTTCATCTGAGCTGGGCTTTCTTAAGTAAACACATTACAGAGCTTCTTGTGACATTTTTTAAGGATGTGGTGCTATGTCCCCTTGACCATTGGTCAGTTTGGGGTCAGGAGACAAGAACTTGTAATTCTGTTTAATTTACAGACCAAAGTCTAGAAAAACAACCAAATTTACTTCCTGAGGTTAATGTTATAAGTCAGCCCTAGCTGTAATACCTGAAGCTGAGTAAGAAGCTGAACCAACGTTTTCCTCTAAAGTATTGTGCCTTTGCTCGGGGGGCCCATTGTCTCAGATTTTCTAACACCAGGTTCACATGTGAATTGAAGGAGGCGAGATGCTTTTTGAATCCACATTGTGAATATCAAAGGTGAAATGTATTTAATGAAAGTCACCCGCTTGCTAATTGAAAAAGATGATTACTATACTAGAAAAATTATCAGGTGACTAACTGTCTGCTATTTCTGAACTAACAACATGACTCAGACGCTGACCCTGCAGACTTTTCTGTGACATAATTTACCATGAAATTCATTTCCTTAGCACAATTCAGATAACGCCTTCCTGGTGTTGCTTTGTGTGATGGGCACTCATTAGCAGGGCTGCCATATTTATGACACGGTTTGGTATTTATTAAGAAGAGATCAGTATTTTCTACAGACACACTTATAACTTACACCTTGACTTTTACTAAAGATTTCAAACAAACAAGTTATAGTTCTGGGGTCTGCATCACTTGAGGAAAATACTAGATTAGAGCCCTGAATTACTCTGTACATTTCCCTCTGACTTCAGTTGTGCCTCTTTTTTTTTTAATTTAGTAGATAAATACAAATGCTGATAACAAGTGCACCCTCTTCACAACTGTGTTGGGTCCTTAACTGTGTGAGGTGAGAAGTATTTTAGCTGAGAAGCATTTTCCAATTACAGAAAGATGCACAAAGAAAGGCAGTATTGTAAACAAGATTGCTTAACGTAGTTAAAGCATACAAACCTCTCTTCTGCCTTTCGCATGCCTCCTGGTGGCAAATGGTTCCAAATACAAAAACTAATTCTTCTTTAAAGCTGGGCTTGGCACCTCTGCTTTAAACCCTGACCTTGAACCCTGGTTCCCTGTATCTCCCTTATCCTCTCACTAGAAGTTTTCCCGTCCTGTTTCACTCAGGGAGCTTGGTTGAACTTCCTCAGATCTCTTCACTTACCCTTCACAGATGCTGTGACTTCTCTTCACCCTTTTCCTGTGCGTGGACTTGAGAAGGAAATATCTCTCAGGGGGGAGAGTATAGCTCAGTGGTAGAGTGCGTGCCTAGCATGCTTAAGGTCCTGGGTTCAATCCCCAGTACCTCCATTAAAAAAAAAAATTAAATAAGTAAATAAACCTAATTAGCCCCCTCCACCCCCCTGAAAACAAACAAACAAAAAAGAAATCTCTGAATGCCTTCCTCCGTGGGGTTTTGGATTCAGTCACTCTGACTCCTTCAAAACCTCACCTCTCAACTGACTGTTTTTCATTGCTCTAAAAACTCATCATAAAATACATTTTGATGAAAACAACAATGCATTATTTTAGGAATTGTCAACATTTTCTCCAACACTGTTTTTTATTCTCTGGGGCACGTGTGTTTAACCCCCCACTGCACTAACCCTGCTAGAGTCTGCTTGGGGGAGAAACGCACCATCTCCCATCCACGCCTGTAATTTTAAACATCTCCATAGGAGACTTAGGAACAGACTCTCACTGGAAAAGGACAAGGTCCTAGGCGATCAGCGACATCATGATAAATTCTGATTCAACCCTTCACAACATGAAATGTATTGTTGTTTTCTGTGACGTTATATTTGACATTCCCTAGATGCCAGATTTTTCTCTGCTCATGAGCTTTTAGTATTATAGCAGGTTGTCTCTAATGTGAGTGTCCCTTTGAAATAGTTTTTGCTTTTAGATGTGTCTTGCCATGTCAAGGCTCAGAGATATGGGCAGATTTCAGCACCATGACTGAGCGATCACATTTGAAAAATCTCACCTCTTCGGCTGTTCACAGCCTTTAGTATGCCTGTCACGTCTCTCCTGAAGTGCTTCCAAACATCCCTCACATGGCTTTTCCATTTCAATTCCTCTCCAGCCCCTGCAGGGAAATCACACAGGTCCCTCGCTGTGCCTGGTTCCAGCTACTGTGGAAGTGGCTGCCGGTTTCCCTGGGTGCTGACATGTTCCTCGGTGGCCATGACTCTCACTGTCTGTGAGAGGGCACGCCTCTCCCAGCCAGCCGCCAGACTTTCTTCATGGAGGACACAGCCTTCATCTTCCCTCCAAAGAGTCCGTCTCTCTTAAGGGACCCTCAGGCAGTCCCTTTCTGACCGACTCTTGGAGGTTCTTCCAAAATTCACATCACCTTTCAGCTCTTGCTAATGTGGAACTAAGATTTGTCCAGGCCCAGAATGACAATCTTATGGCCATCTAAGAATTTCTTATGTGTCTTCAGTGGCAAGTAAGATATATTGATAAATTAGTGATTTAGGGGCCAAAGGACATGCCAAAAGAATCATATAATAGACTGAAATATTTTAAATAAATTGTCTTTGCTTACAATATTGATATTTAACATGATAGACTCTACCATTCTGTATAACAGAAAAAAATTGAGATACTTGCTTAGATCCCTGAGAGAGAATTTGGTGTTTACCACATGGCTTGTATTTTATATCAGAAATCTAAAATTTAGCCTCCAAATGAAGTGAAACTCCCTGGGTATAATCATAAAAATTCATATGAAAAATACTGTTTATTTAGATACACTTAGGGAAAAAAGAAGACTGCTATTCCGTTAAATAAACATGAATATCTTATGACATAGAATGCAAAAATCACAAGTTTTTTAAATAGAAAATCTGGATTCATGTTGCAGAGGTCCTCTTAGGCCACATTCCCTCTCTCTTCTATGCCAAGGTGGGGAAGAAAACTCAAGTGTGCAATTTCCACACAAATCCCACAGTCAGCTGATCAAGATTTTACCTTCTGAACAAGTGTTTGATGTACTAAGTAACTTTAAGCAGTTTTGACTAGGATGTGAATGAAAGGTTCTATTTTTCTGTGAGCTGTGGATGCCATGAAAATCTTAACATACCACCCAAAAATTGGAAGAGCCCCTGCCAGTCTTCTTTGGCATGTGATATGGGAGCTACTTTACAAACTATCATGCACGTTTATGGTCCTGACCAAATAAAGTGTGAGTGGTGGCGGGAGGGTTTCCCACAACTTGCTAGCCCTGTAAATGCTCCTGAAGTAAATAACTGCATAAATAACCTGAAAATGTGGAACCTTAAAAGGTCGCCGAGCCCTGGCCACTGAATTTCGGCCACAGCAGCAACCAGCTGCTCAGTGGACAATTTTGTTACAAGGTGTTAGTGATTTAACAAGTTGGCCAAAAGCAGTTGGAATTTGGCTTGCAAAATTTCATCTCTGTTTGGGTTTTGCTGTTGTACACTGGATTTTTTTCTTGGTGGAATGGCCAAAGCTCCTGCCTTTGGCATTCAGGAACCCAGAGGGCACAGAGTCATCATTTTTCTGTCGTATTTCCCTCATACATTTTTGGTGGTTTGTGTATAATTCTATAAAGCTTTGCAAAAAAAAAAAAAAACGCTACTAGAATGACTTGGCTACTTTTTAGAGTCTCTACAAACTGATGTTCTGGATTTTTTTTTTAACAGCATTTTTAATATATTGGAGGCTGCAGTATCTCCTTAGACTATGTGCAAGTGAATCTTATGTAATTAAAACAAATTAGTCAGATTATAAGAATGCGGTTGGGTATTCTGTAAAATAATACCTCGCTTGCTAGAATGGAAACAGCTGTGAGGGGTCGCATGTTGAGTAGTCTTAAGAACGAACACCACCCGCTGAGTGGTTTTGGACCATCACTTACCTTCCCATATTTGTTCTCCCTGCAAGCACTAGCACACTAGCTTTGTGTCCTTGACATCTCTTAAGTGTAAATGCGTATGTCTCCAAACTAGTAAACATTCACAGCTCACTAAATAACTAAAAGAAATGAAAGAGTGAATGAAACAAGCTTACATTTGCATGGAACCAGAAAGTTACTAATTTCACTTCTTTCTTTTCCTCCCCTGGTCATCTCTTAGATGACTACCTATTTACTTAGCCAAGAAAGTGGAAGTCACTGACATTCAAAAACCATCTATTCAGTGTTTGTAACTCACAGAACACTGAGTTAAATACAGGCTTTTCATACAGTGAGGGGGGAGATGCTCTCTGATCTCATGGGGCTTATGGTTGATCAGAGAAGATGGAAAATTAGACAAGCTTTCAAAATAATATGTAGTGAGGGCTATGACATAATCCCACAGTTGCCTTGCAGATTCTAGATTCTAAATAAGGCCGCTTTGTATGTATCTTTGAACATGTGTGATCCAGATGGATTATGGGAACATCCACTCCAGCGTAATTTTTCGGTTTTCCTCTAAATGTTCACCAGAAGTGACTGCCCTAATTCCATGCAGCTTTAATTTCCCTGGGGGCCCAGTCACTGTGTGAAAATGCAGTTACAATGAACTCATGTATGATTGGGAGGAAAAAAGCCAAGGGCTAGTATAACTGCCACGGAAAAGGAGAAATGCAGACTCCCTCCTTATTTGTACTTCATATATTCTCTCCCTTAGGACATCTCCTTGGCCTCTCCCATGATGATTCCAAATTCTGTGAAGAGAACTTTGGGACCACAGAAGATAAGCGCTTAATGTCTTCCATCCTGACCAGCATTGACGCATCCAAGCCCTGGTCCAAGTGCACATCTGCCACCATCACGGAATTCCTGGATGATGGCCATGGTAGGTAAAGTTCAGGACAGCATAGGCTCAGAAACAAAACTTGAAATTATTACAAGTTACACTTTATTATATCCTCACGACATCCACCTGGCCCTCTAAGACAGTAGTTACTTGGATAGTGTCAGAAGAAGGATAAGAGACTGTCTGTGGGTGTGTAATGCCAACACCCTTGGTGGCATCATAGCAGTGGTATTTTTGCTTTTGAATCGCAAAGTTCAAAAGAGAAGCAGTGTGGGAGACCACCCAGAATGCCTCGCTAGTGCCCTGAAAGCCTGGCTTTTATTCCTCCTTTCACCACGAGCTTCCTGTGAGAACGCTGGCACGTATCTTGTTTCTCTGCTATTAATGTGACTCTCAGAATTATTTGTTACATGCCTATTATAGGGGTGTGGTTAAAATGTAGGTGACAGTTCTGTCGGATTCTCTTTATGGCGACATAAAACCAGGAGAGGAAGCTCTTTAGATTTGCATTCACTAAAAGATTTGGTTTCATCCTGACAGCAGGTTTTCCTGAAAGTGGAGTCAAAACTGCAGAACAGAAATAGAAAATCAATCTAAATGGTGAGAAAACAGTTTAAGAACTTCAAAAGAAAATCTTTGGCTTTACTCTTTAAATACAGTTCAAGAGCGTAGCGTACTTTATTAAGTTCTGTAAATCCAGGATTAGTGCTGTAAATTATATAGAAATACTGAGGAAGTTGCAGTTTTTAGAAATAATAAATTCTGACCTTTAAGCAATCTTTGAAACAAGCTCTTGCTAATTTCCTAGCATTCTTTTTTACCTTAAAATACTAGAAACACAGGAGAATGGTTGCATTAGGGTTGGAAGAGATCTTTGGAGACCACAGAGTTCAAGTTTCTCGTATTACAGAAGTGGACATATTCTCATTTCTTTTCTTCTTCCTCTTAAAATTTACCTCTTTAAAACTGGTGGTTGAATTGAATACGAAATTCTTGATCACGATAATCGTTCACAAAATTAGCACATGATGTACAGTTCAAAGTCGGATAAAGAAAATTTGTGGTAACTGTTTTTTTCCTAGTTCCACAAAGTTTAAAGCTTGATTTTTTTTTGTAATTTCTTAGTAAGCTGGCCACCTTGAACTTTGGGTACATAATTACAAAACAACTGATAAATTCAATTCTTTTCAGACAAAAAGAAATTTTACCACACAGTCCTTTGGCATCTGGTAGCCAAAATATTCACTAACTCATTTTTGCTATGTTAATGGTGAACTGGTAATGTTAATTTAGCTACTTGGGGCTGCTAAAATTTTTATTTCCTATTCCTGAAAATGGTCCACACCCATCTTGCTTTAAAATTTCCCTCAATACAAAATAAATGTTCTCTGTTTGTTGAAAGGATGGCCGAATATCTCAAAGATTTAGAAACAATATTAAGAATTGATGTATGAGGTTTTTTTCCATTCTACTAATAATAAAATGGTAATTTTCTGTTTTGCTCGGTTTAAAACGCTGATAAAGTCCTGAAATGAATGTTCACCTAATTACCCGCCTATCCACATGGGTCAAGCCCCTGTTTAAGAAGCTTCCTCTTGGGTGGAATCTTAGTTTCCACTCTTAATATTACGTTCACTGTTTTTCCCCCCAGGTTTTCTGAAAATGGAGTAACATTAATATTTTATTTCCAAATCACACATTACACATTCCAAAAGGTTGAGCTAAACTTTGAATCACTAAATGAATGGATTTAGTTGCTAAGGCAGCAAATACTTATGGCTAAAATGGGACCAACTTTTTTTTCCCCTGTATAAGTATTAGGTCAGCTAATTACAATGCTGTGCAGAATTCTGTTCCTTATTGCCATCATTCTGGAATGATTCATTTATTTCATGTTTGTGGAATTCATGATTTTACTTTCCATGCAGTAAATAAGCTTCCAATATTGTTTTCACTTTTTAAACATTATTTCTGTATTTAAAAGAGTCTACACTCAGATTTTTAAAAATTTTCCAGCAAGTTTTCTGTGTCTATTCTAAGTGATTTTGTGGTAGATGGCAACCAAGCCTGTACTTTTACTAGAAATAGATTTTATTCATTTGCGCGGATGAAATCTTATCTGAATTTCCCATCTGCATGATAAATAAATCAATAAATTCAGTTACCAATGCTTGTTGGACAGGAAATGCTCATCATTAATTAACTAATTAATTGTAGCAAACCTAGACTCTCTCACTTTTGAATGTGTTGGTTAGACAGTCTTGTGTTTTAACCACACCACCACCGTTACCCCCCAAATTTGATTTTATCAGTAGCCTGTAGTGAATGAATTCAGAATGATGAGAATCCAAGACAGGCGCAGCGGCCATGATACAGTGGCAAAGCTCAGCCATATTCATTTCAGAACAGCAGGCACAGACACAGAGCCGAAGGAGCAATAAGTACTCCCCGTAGGGCTGTCATTTAAACTCAAACTTACTTAATTTAATAACTTTTAGATTGCAACCCAAAACAGACTTAAGTCAGTTTAAGTAAAAGTTTGGTGTGGGAACTAGTTGACGTGACTTTGAGAACGGTGGAGGTTCTGACATTTCAACCTCAGAGCTTAGGAGAGAACCAAAGGGAAATCAAAGCCCAAGATGACGGGAAAGCAAACAAACATACGTCTTTGTTCGAAGGTCAGCCTGATGTCAGGAAACCGTATCATCAAACCTTTTCATTTCTACTCACCCTTTCGAGCACAGCCAATGCATTCACATTTAGTAGAAATAGTTCTGCTCTTTTTCTGTTCGAATTTTCTAGGCCCCTCACAATTTAGAGCAATAAAATGGTCATTTTGGTGGGTAGGGCACTTCAGAAAGGTAAGCTGAGAGCAAGAAGTAAACTGACTTGACAGTGAGAGAGAAACCAGAACAGCTGGAAAATGTTAGCCCTAAAACAGTAAAAGCACAGTGGTCTGGCACCGTTTCCCAGGAGGTCAAAAACTCTCTTCCACCATCACAGTCCCTCAAGGAACCTCTCTCTTTCAGCATAATACAATACTCAGAAAACTGATACTCAGTTCAACTGATACTCAGAAAAAAAAAGTGATTTTCAGTTATTTAGGAAGATTAAATTCTGACACTCCCATAAAAGGCAACAAAGCCATTGCTGTTTTTAAGTAGATAGTCTCACAAAATTTACACAATATTTAGGTAGTTCTTAAAGAATACCTTGCCTAGAAAATCTTTGTATGGACTAGCTCATCGGTGGCCTTCCCACCTCCAGCAGTGCTGGAGAAATGTGACCTTAGGGTACAATTACATTCAAGTCATTGGATTTGTTTTTTACATTATTAGCCATAAGTAGCTGGACATTGTAGCCCTTTATCACTGCCAAATTTAAATGTATTAATCTTGAGTGTTTCCTGATTTAGGTCCAGCAAGAAGTAGGCAACACTTAGGTTATGGTGGAAAAGTCAATGTGCACACTCAAAAATCACTGTGCCTGCAGATTTGTGATGCAGAAAGGAAAAAGCCAGGTCTCACGGGGAATTCTCTCCCACCCCAGCCTGGTCAAGATACTTGTAGACTTTTCTGCAGTGTTTCTACAAGTTAGCTCTAGGCAAGCTGGCCGGGAGGATGATTCCCCAAAATAAAGGTAAGCACTTGGCAGAGAAACTGCTCAGCAAAAGCAGGTTATTAAATTTCCTTTCTCAAATGCTTCATAACCTTGAAGCCAAAAACAACAGCTGTGTCCCCTGGATCCCAAGTCCTCAGCACCGGTTGATAAGAAAGGCCACTGCCTACGTAGATACAGCTCAAGAACACCCAAGACACGGGCTGCAAAGGAAAATCTACGGACAGCTGTGAAAAATTAACAGGTAGCATATTTAAAGAACTAAGTTTACAGCCACTTGCTAAACACAGAACTTTGGAGATAAAGTGGTATTAGAGAACCAATCTCTGAATCCTTGGTAAGTGTAGACAAGAGAGCTAGTGATACGACCTTAAGGTCCAGTTTTTAAGGTCATACTCATAAAATTCAAAGCTCCTTGTGGAGTGTCTTGATTTTTACAATAAATAGGTTCTTTAACAGAGTCTGTCAGTAAGATGTATATTTGAAGTCCACGGTGACCTGTATGTTAAAAAACTATGCTTTATCTTTTAACACAGAGAATTTTTAACCTAATTTCCTTGGCATGACACCTGCTAAACTGTACCGATCTTCTAACCATTTCACAAAGAAGTGCCTTGAATTACTTTGGTCGGCAGCAGTTGTCATGGCCCGGTTAGTTCCTCCATTCCTGAGCCCATAAGGCATCAGTGTCCCTTCTAATGTTAGACGTTCAAATAAAGACCTAAAAGGAGAATCGCAGGGCCAGAGAGATGGCAGGAGGAAGTAAAAGAAGAGACTCTGCCGTGTTGTGAGGCTTCTTGGAACGAGTTTCATTAGGAATATTAACTGATATCTCCTGGGCCGTGGCTATTTGGGCCAACGCTTCATTTCATTCCTGTGTTTTGAAAAGGAAGAGGAAACAGAAGTAACTACGGTGCTAGAAATGGGAGGGGAGGCGGAATGAAACGAATAAAGAACAACCAACTTTAATCCGATAATTTTCTTTAATCATTAATATAAAGGCAAACAGGGCTAGAAGTCAGATATGAAAACCCAAAGATTTTTCTGCTCCATTTCCTGGAGGCAGGGCTTACTGTCCATCACCCCTCAGTGTACTTTTGGCCGTGGAGAGACTACCACATTCTTTCTCTATTTGTCCATCCCAAATCCCTGGGTCTTACTTTTTAAAAGGAATTTTTCACCTTACTTATAGCGTTGAACTTAATTTAACATGGGTGGTAAAAACCAACAGGTGATGTGCACGCATCTCTATTGTCTTCTTTTTGGAAACTCTCCATCTATATACACAAAACGCTGAAGAAAAGGAAAGAAGGAAGAAAAGTGGGGAGAGAGAAAGAGAGAGAAAACGGAGAAGAACTCAGCAATTGTGTGGACCAGGGCAAACAGACAAAATGTCGGCAGCGAGGCCTAGATAGGATTTCAGGCTGAGATAAATTTAAAAATACATGAGTGGATGTTAAGTAATGGTTGAGACTAAAAGTAAACAGATTAGGAAAGTGAACGGTAGATTGGATGCTTTTAGAGGTCACTATAAATGGTGCTAAAAGATTAATCAATTTCTTCTCTCACCCCTCCTCCCCAAATTGTACACCTTTTTTTCTGTAGATGGACAATGTCCATCCAACCCACTATTACTTAGATCTTAACTATTTCATATCATGAGGTTCAGAATCAGGATCTATACTGAGTTTTGTTGTTGCTGCTCCCTGGCACAAATCTGCCACTGGGTAGCAATCTCTGTACCTATTTTATCGCAAAAGGATATAATTCTATTTCAGGGTTAACCGAAACTAATGCCGCAACAAACCTCAATGTTGAGAACACTGAAGTGAAAAATCAATGACAAATCTGAAAGAAATAATTTTATTTTCAGTGATAAAAGATCGTCTCCAGATAATCTCTGAGGGAAAACCATAGCACTGAGATAACTTTTTTTTTTTAAATAGTGAAGCAAATGTGGTATTCATGTTTAAAACATACTTTGCTGTTGAGCTCTGTAAAGAGATGCCACGTCTTGAAGTCTCCTTGTTGTAGGCTGATCGCAAATTGCATTACACCTTTCTTTTCCCTCATCATCGGCCAGTGAGGCAGAAAGAATCCCAGTGACCACATGTCCAGGGACAGGCAGTGAGTGATTTGGGCTGGAGATGATCAAGGTAGACCCAGGCCACGTGCACCCACACACGTTAAGGACTTCAGCTAATATTTAGTTACGCAGTTTCACAGTCTGTGCTTTTCAGTAAAATTTAAAAAAAAAAGTTTCTTAAAACAGCACTTTTGAAGAACTGGAAAGCGTTCCTGCTGCCTCAGAGATTTGTTGACAGTTTTCTACCATCAGCAGATCTGCTAAGCGTTCCCTGGTTTATACAAGGTTCTTTTTTTATGGAGCAAGGAAGATAATGCTTTTCCTGGAGTTCTGAAGTGCCTCATCTCGTTTTATCTTCTAAACAAAGCTTAGTGAGCTTTCACTGTCATTCCTTCCTATTGCCTTGGTGTTGATGCTTTTCTTTTAACTTGATGTTTTTCTCCCAAAGTTCTCTTTGGCCGGATACTTATTTTTAATGCTTTTTCTGGCTGGCCTTAAGAAGCTTTACCTCTTCAAACGTTCTGGCTAAGAAGTTAAATAGAAACTTTTGCTCTTTATTCATTTTCATATAATGTCTCCATCACAGGTTGACAAATTTTAAGGCATTCATTTTGAAGAAACTTGAGTGTCGTTTTAAAACATTTGCAGTAGGCTGTGCTGACTTAAAATGTGCTGAATATTCCATGTCTCAGTGGAAAATAGGATTTAAATATGCTTTTTGTTTGTTGAATAAAAAGAATAACTTGAATACCTCTGAAACGTTGTTAAATATGGGAGTAGTCCCAACTAGGATTGTTTTGTGTATTTCTGGGTTCCCCTTATATCTCTGTGAGCTGATTTTACCCTTACAGTGTCACAGTGAGGAGAGAAATATTTCACAGATCTTGAAAATAAATGAGGGAGCAGTTAACTAACTTGGCCAAGCACTCAGCCATTTAGTGTTTTGCCAGAATTAGACTTTAGACCGGGTGTTTCTACCATGAGGCAAGCTATCTACCACTTAAAGGATCCTTCTACGTGCCTGCGCTGGAGCAATAAAATAAGAAATCTATCCACGTTGCTAGGCAGAGGCAGGATGGTATATGATGAGGAGGGCAGGCTCTGAGTGGAAAACCCTGACTGCCATGTGACTGACCTTGGGTAAGTGGTTCATCTTTATGTGCCTCAGTTTCTGAATCTAGAAACTAAAGAAAATAATAGAATCCACTTCATAGAGTTCTCATGAAGATTGAATAAGCTAATACATTTAAAGACCTGAAGGTAATGTAAGTGTGTAACAAATATTAGTTATTTTTAGCATCGTTCATAATCAGCATGTCAATTGTAAAATCAAATAAACAGAAAAATACAGGAACTGATGGGCAAAAAGCAAGCTCCCCTATGAAGAGAGAAAATTAATGGCGTTAACTCACTGGATAAGGACTCTTAAGGAAGCGTTTTGGGAGCACCTACTTGTTTGGGGAAGACACACTCCAAGGACCCACCACGTACCAGTTAAATTCAACAACTGACACAAAGGGAAGAAAATGGAAGAGATGAGTAAAAAAAAAGAAGGGCCTGATCCCAAGTTTTCAGAGGTGCTTTCTCCCACTGCTCCTTTATTCTGTGATGCTTGAAAGCTCTTTATTAAAATTCTTTCAGTCTAGGAGAAAGACTTTATCTAGTTTATTGGGAGTCCTTGAGAGGTAGATCTGGATCATTTTTCTATATTCCCAAAATCTAGTACGTTTGCTAGAACATTGTAGGTGCTAAGCACTTGCTTGTTGAATGAGTGCAAGGATGAACAAGGCATCGCCTTGTTTATTTTTTATAGAATTAATGAAAAGATGACATGGAAGAGTGCATGAAAAAGGGCTAAGATGGGGCAATGGGAAGTGGAGAACGGGGTATAGAAAGAGTGCAAGGACTCAAAGTTGTATACACTTTATTATTATTATTAATTATTATTTATTATTATATTCACTATCTCATTTTCTCTATGTCCAGCCCAGTTTCTTTTAGTCCCTCAGCACAATGGCTCTTTTCACAACCAATTATTATAAAATAATTTTATTTAATCAAACCACTGCCATCATTATGGATACCCTGAGCACATCATCCATTGGAAATCCGGGAGGGGGTTGACAAGCTCATGGAGGTGCCCAGCCTGGTTCCCCGTGGAGTCGCTTCTCCAGGACATCACACTGCAGATCTGTTTGGATGCATCATGTTTCAGCACCAACCCAGGTCTTGCATTTTCAGGGCCAATAATTTCAGAGATTTGAAATAGAAACACAGAACAGTGGTCAATCTTGGTTATTCCGTTACCCCCAAAAGTAAAGACCCCAGTTCTTGTCATACCTGAAAGATAAGTTTACAGTCGGGAGACGGTGCGTTGTGTAGTGAAAGATTTTTAAGATTTATTTAGAAAAAGGAAAGTGTACCTCCAAGAATGGGAGGTGGACTGATGTAAGGGGGAAAAGCAGCGGTCTTTGTCTCCCCTTCTCTTACACCCTCGCTTAGAGATGGTCTTTTAATTGATTGACATGATGCTTTGTCATGTTTGGCCCCTTTTGCGCATGTCTTTACCCCTGGTTTTTACAGAAAAACCCATGGCGGTGGGTTGGGGGGGAGGCTAAACCGCAAAGTTAATTATAATACAGTCGTGTTTTAACCAGTTTCTTGCTGGCACTCATTCAGAGGAAGTAAAGCCCCTTTATGCTTACGGGCATAACCCCATCTTCCGGACCACCCTCCCTCTCCTCCAGCTCTCTGCCCGGTGCCCCGACTTATCTAACCACCTAACACTTCTTCCAGGTAACTGTTTGCTAGACCTACCACGCAAGCAGATCCTGGGCCCCGAAGAACTCCCAGGACAGACCTACGACGCCAGCCAGCAGTGCAACCTGACGTTCGGGCCCGAGTACTCCGTGTGCCCCGGCATGGACGTCTGCGCACGCCTCTGGTGCGCCGTGGTGCGCCAGGGCCAGATGGTGTGTCTGACCAAAAAGCTGCCAGCCGTGGAGGGGACACCGTGTGGGAAAGGCAGGATCTGCCTTCAGGGCAAGTGTGTGGACAAAACCAAGAAAAAATATTATTCAGTAAGTGATTTTCTTGTCATGCAAAGCCTGGAGACCCAAGGTCTGAAGTCCATTCCTGGGACATACGTGGGGCCTGTCACCAGAAAGGCTTTATTCCCTAGTTAGAATATTTTTTCCTGGAGAGATCTAGATCTATACAGATTCCTCCTTTACCCACAGGAGCCAACCTCAGTCCTCAAATAGTGGAGAAAATACAGATCTCAGGCTATATACTGTAACAAAAACACAGAGCCCAGACTCTGTCAAATAGAGACCACAAGTAGGGCCCCAAATCACGGTTTGGGAGTTTACTTTTGACTTCTCTTAAATGTTATGGGAAAACACTTATTTAAATCGAGTAAGAAAATAGCTGTAGACCTGATCCTCACACATACTTGGTGAGCTCCAAAAGGGTCATGTTTTTCCCCTTAGAGTACACCTGCTCCAGGGAAACACCTCCTGCTGTTTCCAAACCAAAAAGTTCTTGTCCCCGAGGCACAGCGAGGCCAAAGAAACCAAAACATTGGAGTTTGGAGCAGAGAAAGGTTTGTTGCAGGGCCAAGCAACAATGGGTGGCTTGTGCTTGAAAAACCCAAACTCTCCACTGGTTTTTTGGGAGCAGGTTTCATAGGCAAAATTCAGGGAGAGGGCTGCAGGGTGTGTGACTTTGTTCTGATCGGCTGGTGGCGAGGTAGCGGAGCAGTGCTCCAGGGATCCTGTGCTCAGCCTGAAGTTGCCATCCTCCACCTGGGCGGGGCCTTAGTTCCTGCAGAAGAGCTCAAAAGATACTGTTATGGATACTCCTTGATGAGGTACCAGGATCCTGATTTAATGGCGACACTAGCCTTTCTTGACTGCTTCTCCTTGGACACAAAAGATTTATACCAGGGAGGACCCCACAGGGTCCTGCTTCGTTCACTGCCTCCCTGTGCACCCAGTCCAGCTTCAGGTCAGCCATCGCCAGCTTCGTTTTCAAGGCCCACACAAAGCGTTTGTTCCCTCTCACTCCAACATCTTCAAAGTCCCCAGGAGAGTGTTGCCATGTGTAGTTACCTCTGCCCTTCAAGACTGTCATACAACCGAGCATGCTCAGGTACCCTGGCCCAGGCAGCCAGAGGAAGTTCTTCAGGAATTCCCTGGGCAAAGGAGTTTCCAGTGTGCTTGCTTTTGGTCTCTCAGCTTCCTGCTGTAGTGTTTCCAGAGCAAGAGACCTGGGGTGTCATAGCAGGGCTCTTCATTCTCTGTGGTGTGGGTGCATGTGACAGGTGCATGTCAGTATCTGTCTGTTTCCTCTCTGTGGGGTATAATGAAGTCAAACCCAGGTCAGATACATTCATGCATGTGGCAGAGGGTCTGTCACAGATGGACATGTGATGTCCGCAAGGGGACCACAGAACTTCAATGCCAAAGAGGGAGAAGAGATGTAAGCACCATCAGCTAATGCCTAAGTCGTGCAAAACCTTTAGCATCATACTGTTCGTTAAACACGCGAGATTAGAGTGTCTACAAAGTGGACTACAGTTCAGTGGTTATTAACGGAAATGCGCAGTATCAGAAGGCCATAAGTCACCCTTGCAGTGTGCTCAGAGCTTGGGGTGAAGTATTCAGCCTCTCTGCTGTGGAGAATGGAGAGGCAGACAAGGCGAGCTGCTCAGAACTGGAGCTGTGTTGTAATTCCAGAGCATCCAATACCTGTGACCATGTTAAACTCAGTGACAATGTAACTGTATCTGTGAGGAAGTTTCCTCTGAGTCATGGAATGCAAGCGATCTCCGAATGCATGTTTTGAATGCTTTCCTCCCTTCTGAGTTAAAATATCTTCTGTTTGTCTTTTAGACTTCAAGCCATGGCAACTGGGGGTCCTGGGGGTCCTGGGGCCAGTGCTCCCGCTCGTGCGGGGGAGGAGTACAGTTTGCCTATCGCCACTGCAATAACCCTGCGCCCAGAAACAACGGCCGCTACTGCACAGGGAAGAGGGCTGTCTACCGTTCCTGCAGCGTCATACCCTGCCCCGCTAATGGTACGCCGCTCCCGAGTGTCAGCAACCACCACGTGTCAGGTGTAGTTTGTATTCTACCAGTCATACATAGGGAGGCCGGAGAAATAGCCTATTCATCTTGTCTGCACATTTCTACCAGTGTGCAAACCAATAACAAATACATGAGTGATTTTTATAGTATTACTGTAAACAACTGAGGATTCAGAGCGTAGAAGGAAAATAATTACTGTTTTCGATTTCGATAAAAAATCTTCCAATGCTGGTGTGTTACGAGACTCTACAAAGAATAGTAAGTTAGCATTTTCTCCTTTAAAGTATTTAGATGGATAAGAATATATCTCAGTTTCAGAACAGATCGCGTAATAATGCGATACATTTGCTTTCTTAGGTAAATCTTTTCGCCATGAGCAGTGTGAGGCCAAAAATGGGTATCAGTCTGATGCCAAAGGAGTCAAAACATTTGTGGAATGGGTTCCCAAATACGCAGGCGTCCTGCCGGGAGACGTGTGCAAACTGACCTGCAGAGCTAAGGGCACCGGCTACTACGTGGTGTTTTCTCCAAAGGTAACTGCACACAGACTGCCACACACAGCAGGTGTCCTCGGTGGAGATTGTTTAAGAGAATGGGCCGTGCTCATACCAGATGTAAACAGTCATTATCTTTGGGTGGGGGCAGGATTTGGGGAGGTTTTTATTTTCATCTCTGTCGTTTCTATATTTTCAAACTTTATACAATGAATCAAAATCATTTTGTAAACATAACGAGTAAATGTTTTAACAACTATATTTGAAGAGCATGACTCTCTGTCAAGAAAGGTAAGAAGTGACCTTAACGTCAGAATAATATTTCCCAGGTACGTTTGTCAAGGGGACTAGGAGGCAAGGAAGCTTTCTGTTTTTCTCCCATGTAGTTAAGAATTCCTTTGTTGATTCATGAAGATAGATTTCAAGATCATCGTCTCTGACTTAGAATTTTAAATGTCTTGCATCTTTCATATGAATCAGTGTCCCTCTAGTTATACACATTATAACATGTGCATGTGACATTATCCCTTATTTTCCACAGAAGAGCATTTTCTAAATCACTTAAGTAATTCTCACAATCAACATTATGCAGCAGTTTAAAATATTGTTTATCTAATTTGCAGATAGGTGCTACATTTGAAACCACCTCTGTAAATTAGGCTTTCAGATATTTATTACATACTATTGAAAAATTAGTGAATGTCTAACTTACGTAACTTTTAAAATATTTTATCTTTTTATTGCAAAATAGTTTTTTTTTCCAGTTTTTATTTTATTATTTTATTTTATTTTTATTGAAGTACTGTCAGTTACAGTGTGCCAATCTTTGGTGTACAGCACAACGTCCCAGTCTTGCATATACATACATATATTCATTTTCATATTTTAGTGCAAAAGAATTCATTTTTATTTAAAATGGTATGGAGAAATAAAAGCAAAAATATTACTCGGAAATATAATCAGCTAGAGAGCTGTTAGTCTGCTGCAGTATACTCTACGTCAGTTTACACACAGATACACACACTTGTATCTTCACACACGTATGAAGTGTTTGATATACACACAAATACAAAATATGTGTGCTCATTTGTACGTATGGCTATATATGTTATTTGCATTTACCTACATGCACAAATCACAGAGTCCATTTACATACTGTTTTATAATGAGCTTTTAAAATATATACTAATTCTTTTATCCAAATATATTCAGTGCCTCCCAGTAACTACTTCTCTTTGACTTCCCCAGATTTCTGTTTTACATGAATTTGCCTCCATCTCAGCGTCTCACAGTTCGACACAATAGGAAATGCTTTCCAACCATTATGAGGTTGTGAATGTCAGACGTAGATTTTCAGTTTATTACTGTAATAACAATTATGCAACCAAGGATACCTGTGTCCTTGAGCCCACCCGTATTCTGCTCTCCGCATAAGTGACAGACCGTCCCATACATGAAGTGAAAGATGGACTCTGTCAATAAAAAGGCAAGACTGTTCCATAGGAGCTTATTGTGCACATGGAAATGGAGATCAGGACCCTGGGTCTCCTAATGTTACCCCACAAGGGGAAGGGAAATACCCCAGTTCTTGTCGTAACCAAAAGATAAGAATACAGATGGGAGATGGAACGTCATGTCGTGAAAGATTTTAAAGGATTTATTAGTAAAAGGAAAGTGCTCTTCTTCCAAGAACAGGAGGTGGGCTGATCCAAGGGGGAAAAGCAGCGGTCCCTGCCTGCCCTTTCTCTTACACCCTCGCTTAGAGATGGTCTTTTGACTGATTGACAGCTCTTGCCCCTGGAGTGCTCAGTCATGTTTGTCCCCTCCACGCATGTCCTTACTCGTGATGTACACAGGAAAACCCACAGAGGGGGCCTAAACTGCAATGCTAATTATATTACAGCGAACACTGGGTCATGTCAGTTAGGTCCTTGTCGGATTCTAAGCGGTTTCTTGCTGCCACTCATTTAGAGAAAGTAAAGCCCCTTTATGCTGGAGGCGGGCATTACACCATCATCCGGGCCATCCTCGCTCTCCTCCACCTGTCTGCCCGGTGCCCCCGCTTCTCTGCCTACTCAACACTAACACATTCGGAATTAAGCTCAAGAGAGAAAGGGCATAATAACCCAGGTCTATCCCAGTTCTTTCTGCCAATACGTCAAGGATTTGTCAGTCAATACTCCTATTATAGAACTAGGGGTGTTTTGGGGTCTTTTTTCTTTTCAATTTTTTGTTTAGTTTTCAGTGTACTATCTCTTCCAATCAAATTTAAAACTTCCAAATTAGAACTTGCTGTTTTATCAAAGAAACCACATTCACAAGCACAGGCATTTCCCACGGCTGACGTGTTTCCCATTGTTCAGGTGACTGATGGGACCGAATGCAGGCCGTACAGTAATTCTGTCTGCGTCCGGGGAAAGTGTGTGCGGACCGGCTGCGACGGCATCATTGGCTCGAAGCTGCAGTATGACAAGTGTGGAGTGTGTGGTGGAGACAACTCCAGCTGTACAAAGATTGTTGGAACCTTCAATAAGAAAAGGTAATGAGAGAGAACAGTTGTCCTTATCTGACCTCACCAAGGCTTTAGACTCTTGCAAAATTGATTAAGGAGGACTCACGTTACATCATAAGCTATCTGTAGGAGGGGGTCTGTCTAGCTCAGCTCTAGGAAGACATTATGAATGGGAGAAGGGAAGGAGAGGAGATAAAAAAAAAAGCTCTGGATGCCGACTGGACACTCATGGCACCTCTGGAAGCAGGTTAACTGCAACGGCCATGGGGTCAATGTTTTACAAATTGTGGAAAAAGTCTGTGACGTTCCACTTTGGCAGTATCTTGCAGATCTATTATTCCTGAAATATGATTTAGGAAAGGATGGCTTGGTTCCATCTTAACTACTTTCTTTCACAAATAAATTCTTCTTTGGTTGTCTTTTTCTGGAGAGAACATTTCTCATGGCAAAATGTACGTTATCTGCAGTGGTGTAGTGGCAGTCCCGTTTTATAGTGAATTATCCTGGTTCATGTCGATGAAGAGTCATGTCTGTTTCCTGCTTCCCCTCCTGGTCTTTGATTACACACTTGCTTTAACTATGTGAGTTTATAAAGTACCAATTGCCGGCATGAAATACTCTGCTATCAGCTAGGGTGGCCGGGTCGGCTAAAGAGTCTGTTGAAATGCAGCACCGTTTTTCCTCTTCGCCAGATCACTCCTGTGCTGAGTGGTTTTGGTCGGGTGCATCTGCACTCCTGATGTGTGTGCTGTGTTGTCTTTGTGGAGGGGAGTATGCAAACTGAGTCAACAATAAGGACTTAGTAAAACAACTGCATGCCATGTGAATGTAAAAAAAAACTAGAAATGATCTTCCGTATGATTGAAAAAAAAGGTATGGCTGGAGAATGTATTCTGAATTAAAATATGCATTGCTAAAGCCTATTTGCTGGTGATAGAATGATTGTTCATCAAATTGCGTTGGGCCGTCTAGGTCAAAAATCCTACAAGTCCAATTATACGTTGCATTTGAACGTACTTCAGAGATGCATGGCACCTTAGAAATGATCGATCTAACCTTTTGTTTTATAAATGAGGGAACTCCGACTCTGACAGTTCAAGAATCTCCCAGTTTTACGTGGCTGATGAGTGCGGGAGTAGAGGCTGTAGCTTAGGTCATAGGAATACGATGCACAGGCCATTTGTGAAAAAGACAGGAAAAAAAAAAAGGAAGGGAAAGAAAGAAAAGAACCAAATGAGAAATACCATAATTTTTAAAATAAGTGATAGCTTATGTACTATATAATATGCAGTCTTCCTACATAAACTTCTAAACCTCTTTTTATAATGCTTAATTTAGCATTTTAGGGTTTCTGAGTTTACAACAAATATCTGCACATTTGATGTCGCAGGAAAAGGTGAGGAGATTCAGGAGAGCAGCAAGGGGTACACAGCATAGCTGCTTGCAGATTGGTTTTAGCAAGATTGTATTATGTGGTACAAATGACCTGTGTGAGTAACCCAGATTAATGTGTGATGGATAAAAGAGAACATTGACCTTGGAGCTGGAATGTTTGCAGTCAAGCTCTGGCTCAGTAATTCACTAGCCATGTGGTCTTTGCAGAGTCACTTAACTTCTTTACTCTTAAGCATTCTTGAGAGTAGAATGGAAATACGAGTAGTTATCTTTCAAATTAATCTTGCTGTGTAGGTCAAGTGAAATAATGCATGTTAAACTATTTCCTTAAGTTCAAACTTCTTCGCAAATATGATCCAATTTTAATTCACGGCTCCCTCAATATTCTTCACGTCAGTAAATGGCAACTCAGTCCTTCTTCTGCGTCGGCCCAAAACTTTGCAGTCATCTTTCACACTCTATTTTCTCTCACACGCCCCCTCGATCCATCAGCAAGTCCTGTCAGTCCTTCCTCCAACATAGCTCCAGAATCTGGGTGCCCCTCACCACCACGAGCACTGCCACCCCAATCCAGTGGTCATCGTTTCTTGCCTGGACCAATCCAGCCATCTTCCCAGGGGTTTCCCAGCTCCTTACCTCTTCACAAAGCAGAGAGAGCCATCACCTCATTCCCTACATCATTCCTTGGCTCTGTGTCCTCTGACGGCTATCATCTCGCTTCGAGTCAGTGTCCAAGACTGTTCTATAACCTATGAGAGGCTAAAAAATTGGCCCCTGCCCTGCTCTGGGTCCCTTCTATGCTGTCGCCTTCTCTTGCCCTGTTCTCAGAATCTGGACTTCCCAGCTTCCTAACACTCCTCCAACAGGGCAAGCAAGAGCATGTGGACTGTTTTCTCTGCCTGGAGCAAACCTTTTTTACAGTTAACAAGCAATGCTTCTAGAATTCCTTCAGCTGTCTGTTAAGTGTCACCACCACCCCCCAGGCGGTGGTTTCCCTAAATGAATCGGAGGATCTCTCCCCGATCCTCCTCATTCCTCTCTCTTACTCTGCTCTGCTTCTTCACAGCTCTTACCAGTAGATAATTTGTGGGTCTCACTCCCCCCGCTAGGATGTTACTTCCATGGTGGCCTGCTTAGTATGTATTCCTTCGTGGCAGGTACTGTTCTTTGTATGGTAGGGAGAGCCCTGAACAAGAGAAGAGTCCCTTGCCCTGCCAGCCGTACATCAGATCTCAGTTGTAGGAGAACAACCGCATTCATTCATGGTAGCCAAGGAAGCTGGTTAATGTCCAGAGTTTAAATGCTACCAGGCAGGATGCAAAGAAAATGAATGAGCACAAAGGGAATCCTATTTCACTAAAGCACCAAGAAATCTGGGCTCTAGTCCTCAGACTTCCCAGTGCCTGGGAAGCTCAGTTTGCAGACCTGCCGCAGAGCTGACAGTTCCCACTGATTCTCGTGAGTATGAGACAGTCTCTAAGACAAGGATTTAAGAAAAAGAAAAATGCTCTCCTGTCTGAGTCCCTTACCCTTCATTCTTTATTTTCTTTATACTCTGGTATCATTTAAACTCTGAACATCACCAGAACTTATTTCCATTTAACTGTGACAAAATACAGCTGGCGGAGGATAGGGTTTCGTGCCTGGAGGTGTGGGAAAAGGAGCACAAAGTGGGAGGCAAGAGGCCCGGCCCTGCTGCTCCTTAGCTCTCCAGGGACCCTGCGCACGTGCTTTACTGTATCTCCACTTGTGTACATAAGATGGAATGTTTTCTCCTGGCTTTGTTTGAAACCATTGTTGAAGCATCTCATCTCAATATTAGATATTAAAAAAAAAACAATCCTGTGACAGAATCGAATCCAACGTGTATTACAAAAATAAAAGTGACTCAAATTCAACATCGTCAGCATTGCGCCTTTTCGCTTCAACACAGTAGGAAGCTCTGACACCTGTCTGGCAGTCACTGTAGGTCAGATGTCCAATAGGAAAGGTCCTTCCCTGGGGACCAGTCTCCTCTCCAATTCCGAGGAAATGCTCGAGCGGGGGAAACAGACTTGGATGTTCGGTCTGTGAATCAGTTACCCCATAGTCTCTAACCCCAAGTAAGAATTTGAAAGTATATAATTAAATTTCACACACATCCATCAAACTGCACAAGCAAAGTATTTCTTTCTATTTAAATAACTAGGAAAAAGGAGGGTGTAACTCAACGGTGGAGTGAGTGCCTCGCATGTACGAGGCCCTAGGTTCAATCCTCAGTGCCTCCACTAAAATAAATAAATAAATAAACCTAAGTACCCCCCTAAAAAAAGTTTTAAAGTAATAAATAAATAAATAAATAAATAAATGGAAAACAAAATACACAGTTACCTTACTATGAAATTACTTATACAGGCAAAGATTTTGGCAAAAGATGACTCCTTCTCAGTCCCTTGGTGCTGAATCAATGCTTCCGCCCTGATGTTTTATGCAAGTTTATTCCTATCAGAGATATTGAAGCCTTTGCCCATTTTCCTGAGCAGATGATGGATCACTAGAGAGCTATCTCATTCATCGCTCACCATAAAGCCTCACTCAATCTGTCATAACTCTTTACAGGCCCTAAGCATTTGGGGAAACTTGCTAAGGCATTAAAGATTCTGTATTGTTTTCTTCTGATGATACTAGTAAGCCATGGTTACCCAGTTACAGAATGTTATGTTCCATTTTCTGCCCCAGGAAATCCAGAGTTCAAGTCAAAATGGAATCAGAGCCTCTACCCTGTCTCTAGTCCAACAAATAATTAAATCCATGGTTCCCCAGCTAGTCTGCATGTGTGGAACAACGTGAGGAACTCTGAGAGCACTGCTGCCCATGACCCGTCCTGAAAAGTGGGATTTGACTGCCCCTGTGTCTGAGGATCTAAATTTGTAGGCTTTGGAATTTTTTAAAGATACTCATGTGATCTCAATGTGCAAACAAGTTTGAGAAATGTCACCAATTTCTATGCGATTAACTGAGGGTAGATTTTTATTGGTTTGTGTTTATGTGTGTCCCATTTTGTGCCAGAAGGAATCTTAGGTAGCTTTGTAAAGATGAAAGGGCTTGATAAAGATGTGTGATTTTTCTGTAAATCTTTACATAAAGGTAGTATAAATTTTTAAAACAAAGGCAGGTTGCTAACATTGTCTTAACTTTGAACATTATAATGCAAAGTTATACAACATGATAGTCCAACTGCAATTCTATTTTGTTATAAGAAAATTAATTTTGGAAGCCAGTTTTAAACTAATCTCTTTCATACATTAAAACTTTGTATTAAGATAAGGTGAGACTTTTAGAGAATTTCTGTTGATCTAGTTATTGTTTACTTATTTTTCCTTCCTCCCATTTCTCTCTGTGTCTCCTCCCCTGCGGATATTTCTGCTTCCAGTAAGGGTTACACTGACGTTGTGAGGATCCCCGAAGGGGCAACTCACATAAAAGTCCGACAGTTCAAAGCCAAAGACCAGACTAGATTCACTGCCTACTTAGCCCTGAAGAGGAAAAACGGTGAGTATCTTATCAATGGAAAGTACATGATCTCCACTTCAGAAACCATCATAGACATCAACGGAACAGTCATGAACTACAGCGGTTGGAGCCACAGGGATGACTTCCTGCATGGAATGGGCTACGCGGCCACGAGGGAAATACTCATTGTGCAGATCCTTGCAACAGACCCAACTAAAGCATTAGATGTCCGTTACAGTTTTTTTGTTCCCAAGAAGTCCACTCAAAAAGTAAACTCTGTCACCAGCCACAGCAGCAATCAGGTAGGATCGCACACTCCGCAGCTGCAGTGGGTGACGGGCCCTTGGCTTGCCTGTTCTAGAACCTGTGACATGGGCTGGCACACCAGGACGGTGCAGTGCCAGGATGGAAACCGGAAGTTAGCCAAGGGATGCCTTCTCTCTCAGAGGCCTTCTGCATTTAAGCAGTGTTTGCTCAAGAAATGTTAGCCTGTGGTTATGAGCTGATACAGAGATAACTGGGTTGATTTTTCACTGATACGGTCCTGGTGAACAGAGGTCAACCTAGAGCACAGAGTCACACTTCAGTGTCATTAGCAACAGGAGTCCAATCATGGGCAGAATCTGCTCTCAGCGACCAAATGAAGATGTGCACTGCTTCACAGGACAGTGGTGACCTTGGAATAGAGAAAACCTTGGGAGTACTGAACATCCCCTGGACCTACAAGAATGCAAAAACACTGATGAATGTAGAATCAGGGGACATTGGAAGCTGGCAGAGCAGTCTTCCCCTTGTCACCTACCTCTTATGGAATGTCTTCAAAGGCATCATAGTCATTTTGATGCATATTACACAGTAGCTTATTTTTACTGTTTGTAAATACATTCTTTCTTGGTATGTCACTTTATATCACTTGGTTCTATTAAAAAATATATATATATATATATTTCTATAAAAAAGTGTTTGACCAAAGTAGGTCTGCAGCTATTTCAACTCCTTCCAGTTTCCAGAAAGAGCTGTGGATGTTTTACTGGAAATTAAGAACTTGCTGCTGTTTTAAAGAGATTTACTATACTTTCAGACTACAGGAGATACAATTTTCGTCAAAAACCATTTTGACAGCATCTTCTGAGAAATTCTGAAAAGAAAAAGGATCTCCGTGTATCTAGTCACTGAAATATATACAGGGGTCCATTTATTTAAATCTTTGACTGCCTGTATTTTTTCAGGCAGCCAGCCAAATTAATGCATAATGAGGAGGTAGAAGTAGTGTGTGTGTGTGTATGTTGTCTGTATTCAAGAGCCTAAAAAATAGTTTCCTTCTGTTGGGATCTAAAACGAAGAGAAAAAACACCCTTCACCATATTTCTAAGTTGTATCTTTACCACTGCATTCTCTTTCTGTAGCTCCCATCTGATATTGCACAATGTGTAGTACACGTACAAACACACAGCAAAGAGTTTTCTATCACCTTCAACACTGGTATACCTCTTACCAGCAAGCCTTTAAAATGCATTTTTGTTTTCGCTTGTTTGTTTTGTTCAAGGGTCTTATAGTAACTACTATGTTTTATACTTCTTGTTGACTTAGCTTAAGAGGAATAGTAAAGATCACTTGGTAACTAGCCACATCTAGACGTGGTTATTGTTAATGTGGCTAGTGCAAAAAAAAGTGGTTAATATTAACAAGACTGTTTCCACACCATAGGCAATAATTTCTTGCATCTTTTTAATCTAAGTATACTGATACTGTACTTAAGATTTTTCCCAATTAGAAGGCATTTGGTTGTGCCAAGAAGTGTTTAAGTGATGAAATGTGATAATTTTTGCAATTTGCTTTTATTTCCATAGCCTGTCTAGTAGGTTGTAAGTTGGAATAGTTAGACGTGGAAAATTTTTACAATCATTTGCATAACAGTCTCATAGACAGGAGACCTCATCCCTCTATCCCACAGCTGAGAAAATCTAACGTATTTCATTTCATTGGTTTTGCTTTTTCTTTGTGAAATATCACAAAGCTATTTGTTTTTATAAAAGTTTATAATTATCATACCAAATGTGCCTATTGTTAAAGACTTGCGTATAAGTATATTAGGGAACTATTATTTGAGTTCCCCTAAGCTCATGAGAGTTTATTTTTATTATATGATATTTTTAATATAAAAGGATTATGTAATTGATCCTGCTGAAGCACATTCATTTCAGTAGGCCAAGGAAATGGATGTCTCACTAAGTATTTTCTTAAGAAATCGTTTGGTAAAACAAAGAATTGTTTTACAAAACTGTTAATCATCCTTTGGATTTTCATAGGCTGACTTTGCTTTAGATGTGGTCCTTTTTTCTTAATAAATGATCAACTACAGAAAGGAGGCCTATACAAGACTGGTCCCCTCCATTTGACAGAGGTCACCAGATACCAGGCACTAGGAGCAAAGCTGTTCATATCAGTCAGAAAAGATAAAAATAAAAATCACACTGACCATTTGACTGTGCAGAGAAAATTAATGGAAAAGCCAACCTTACTGTTTCCAGTATTCAAAATAACTTGAATCAAGTAATTCCACTATGACAAAATTAATGTTTATCTTTTGCAGTATAGTGACAGCAACATTAAATAATCATTGAAAAGCAAACTTTTGCAGTATAGTGACAGCAACATTAAATAATCATTGAAAAGCAAACATGATTGTCTCCTACTCTGCTTCTCCAGACTGTATTTATAGATTTTTTAATATGAGTTATCAGTGATTCACTTTTTCCCCAAATAATGAAGTTTTACACTTCTCATGGGAACAGTCCCGGAGACCTTAGGACAAGAAACCAGTATTCCATGCTTTCAAGGAATTTTCTTTAGGTTTCTTTTTTTGTATGGGTATCAATAGATTGACTAACGAAATGTATGTCTAAACTCCTGAGAAAATACATAGACTGGAAACTGAAGTTCAGAGATAATGGAGTGTTTGGCAGACATAGAGAAAGAGATAAGCAAAGGGAAAATCCTATATAATGTAAAATAATTTAGCCCAGTTTCACTCTGAATTATACTTTTTACCTTTCCATAGTTACATCTTAAACCACGAGCCTAGGATTCAGGATGTGAGGGGCTATTTCCTCAAAAAAAAGTGTCTGAAAATGCTCAGGTTAGTAAAAATCTAATCTCACTCACAAAACTAAACACTTCAGATTGAGTTTCATTATACACAAAGAGAGCCTAGAAGAAAATAGCATTTATTTCTTCTAGAACAGAAAAGGTCAACTGAAGCCCCATCTTGTTGTTCGGAAGTTTAAGGCCATTGTTTTAATTTATTCAAAAAATTTAGCTTCCTCTGCCTTCCTGTGGAAACAGTTTTAGTGCATTAAGAATGAAGGGATTAATCACAAACAAAAAAGTTGCAGCACTGAAAAAAGAAGTAATTTATTGTCTTTGCAACTGGTATGTGAATTTGTGTGATAAAATTATTTATTCTTATTTAACAAAAATATGTGCAAATTCTTCTATATTTAAAATGTTTTGCTATTGTCCTACTTTTTAATTTATGCTTCATGTTTGTGTATAAAGTACACTTTGTGAGTTTACATGATATACAGCACTGGTTGCTTTTGTATTTTTTTTACAGAAAGCTTTCTGTGTGAAACAGGTGTATGTGTGTATATTTCTCATGTGTTCTTATGATACTATCCTTGTCCTTTCTAAGGAAGTTTTTAACTTAATCTTTCATGACTAGTAGTGTTCATTACTTGTAAGTTACATTAATAGGTCTTTGGGTTCCATTGAATGCTAACTTTTCCAAGTCACAGATAAGAAAAACACGTACTCAACCAACTGAGGTCTAGAAGTGTCCCATAGAAGCTAAGACTCAGCTCAGAACCAGGTCCATGCACTTCACTGATAAACTTGGACAAGGAGCTGTTGATACATCATGACCTCCGAGTGACAGCAACAATGTAAAACTAAATATTGTCTTTTGCTGCTTTAGAAACACTCCTTACAATGACTATCATTTAGTCTCTAGTATCTTTAAGGTTCTACAGATGAGAGTAAACAAACTGGATTTAATTATTCAAATGTCTGTAGTCATAACTGTTTCTACAAGTATGGGATGTCCACTGATACAGTGTGACTTTTCACTACTACAAATTACTCTCATGGAGAGATAATAGGACTTGGGAAAAGCAGGGACCCCTCTGATCACACCAGCTTGCCCCTGACTGTGATTTCACGGTCTGATCACAGCAATAGGGCAAAGCACCTTTGGATACACAACTGATCAGATTAACTTCTGGCTCTGAAGTTCCTCCCATTGACTCCTTCCTTAGTAACAAGGTCATTGTAGTGGTTTACGTGGGGACAGCAGCCAGATTCAAAGAAGTTCAGGACTTGTGCTATGGCTTGGAGTTCACTTTTTGTGCAATTAGATTGAATTCAATCATGACTGAATTTTGCTAATTGTTTTTGGCTGAGTGAAGTCTCATTGGCACGACTGGTCACTATTACTAATCTATTTATAGTTAAACTGAGGCCATAAAAATACCTAATTTTTTTTTAACATTTCGGAGCCACAAAATAAATGAATGACCTTGAGGACAGAAATGGTCATCCAAAGAACCAAATGCACAGTCAAGGTGATCTGTCACTTAGACACCCAGAATAGGAACTTGCATGTTTCCTCTATTTTTTTTCTTCACTTGCCAACAACATGTAGTTCTAGATGGTCGAATAGGTAGATCAACTTAGCTCACTAGCCCACTGAAAAAATACAGTGTTTTAGTTCCTTGTTGACATCAACTACAGAAATGACTTCTTAAGTTATATCACATGAAACACATCACTCTATACTGCATAATTGTGTATTCTAGTCAATTAATGTATGAGAGCATATTGGAACACCAACCCATGCATTAGTGAGCTAGAAAATGGGAATGTATGTAGCATTCAGATCAGAAAACCATTCGATCTGTCACATATCTTCCTGGCGCCACGATATCATAATTCTCAATGCAGATTTTGTAGAAAAAATAAAGGAACGTGTTGTTAGAAAATGTTGGTTTTAAAAGGGAATAGAGCTGAAATGTACATATTTGTTAACTCAGTTAATTGCACCCTCAATTTCCTAGCACTAACAATAAGTTTGCTGTCTGTGGTCCTTATCTCATAGCTCCACCGCCTGGTCCATGTGCACAGACATAGGTCAGATGAAAAAACAAATAACAATGGCCCATCATCCTATAAGGCACTGCCACATCAGAGTGACCCAAGGCCAGCACTGTGAGGAAAACTGTGATTTGTAAATAAAACCGAACATTTTTTTTCCTTTGGCACGTTACAATTTACAATTGTAAATTTATCAAGGTGCTAACATCCTCAGTGACCAACTGTCAAATGTGATATTTCAGACTTACTGTTTTATTATACACGAGTTTTCAATTTGCAAGAAAGAATGCCAAGTGTTTTGTCAAGTTTGGGCACACCTTGAAACTCAAAATTTGGGAAACTGTATCTAGCGGTCATTCAGATCAGCAGTGTTTAGTGACATAAGCTACATGTACGCTGAGGATGTTTAAGGTGACATCAAACTTGAAGAGCATCAGGTTGAAGCAGCAGACTTTAAATGAGTCACGTTCCATCACTTACTAAGCCATTAGTCATGTTCCGTCGCTTACTAAGCCATCAGCATCCCTTTCAAACAAACTTGTTTGTTTCTTATACGCAAACGCCTGTGTATATTTAGCCTGATTTTGTTTAAGCTTTGCAATATTTTATGTCCCTGGTAAACACTTGGCCACTATATCTCCATCTTTTCTGTAATAATTTGCAGCATATTAGAAGCCTTTCAACCCATACGGAGTATATTTACAATAGAGTATCATACTGTGTGTGACTTTGTGAAACTAGACTTTAGATTAAGAAATTTATATTGTCTCTGGGTGGTATTCTTGCATTACACGCTCCAGCATGACATAAATGTAGGACTTGACAAATACTGCTTACATTTTAGTATGACGCATTAATCAGAGGAAATCACGCACATGCTTTGTAAATAGAGCAGATAACTAAACAGATTGCGGAAATGTGTTCCACTTACTCTAGGCCGTGGCATGAATATTTGATTTCTATATTAGAGTCTGGGAGTCAAATCAGATAATAAGCCTAAATAGGTAGAACTGAGATTTTTAAATCTTGAAAGATGCTTTCTATCGATAGAGAAAAATACTGAGAATTTACATGCCAGACACAAGCGATATAAGCTGCTTTTCACCCTCAATTTTTCAGGAATGATGGCTTTTTTCAGTCGATATA